TCTGAGATCATACTAAGTTGAAATGCGGTGTTTACTTTTCAAGTATACCTGCTTTGGGTGATAAGCATAGGCATGCTTTATTTAGGTAGGTAGGAAAGCTTCGATTTCGTATAAGCCCAGTTTAAAGTCTAGACTTATTCTGATTGAAGAACTCAGTAGACTATTACACAGGGACATTCAGTGTTATTCCCTCCAGCACAAAGAATTCTTAGAACTTGGATTTGCTCAAGTGTGAGCTGACATCTTATTGTACTACCCTGCGCTTGTGGAAAGCAATGTGGATTTAGGGCAATGGTCCCCAAACTTGTTTTAACTTGCGCTTCCTTTTGAGAATGAAGCCACGCATCCTTTAATATTCTTTGAAATTTCAAAATATACCACTTCTCATGGCTAAATCAGAACAATGATCATTTTGAATGTGCTTTTAAAATCTACACACACCCACCTTCTCCTAATCGGCCCTGTGCTGCCATTGGTAGTCTTGGTCCCGACCTCCCTTCCCTGGTTATGAACTTATGGTCTAGTAAGTTTGGAACTGATATGCAATATGGAAAAGAGAGTGTAATGATGTGGGATGCCTGGGTAGCTCAGTGGTTGAGTGTCTGCCGTTAGCTCGGATCGTGATCCCGGCGTCTTAGGATTGAGTCCCACATCAGGCTTCCTGCAGGAAGCCTGCTTCTCCCTCTGCCTATGTCTCTGCCTCTCTCTCTCTCTCTGTCTCTCATGAACAAATAAATAAAAATGTTAAAAAAAAAGTGTAATGATGTGCCGCTGAAAGAAACGCCAATGATACATCATGAGACAATAAACTGCTCTGCTGCTGCTTTATTAAGGATATACCACTTTCAATGTTGTCAGTTAACTGACCTATAAAATGAATAACACGAAGTACTTCATTATTTGAAAGTAAAGAATGCTTTTAATTTCCTCACTTCTAACCTGATTTTTGTGCTATCCCCATGAACTTCTCAAGTCAACAGTCTTAATAGTATAACTACTATTTTTAATTAAGTTTACTAAAACTTTTAGTTTTTTGGTTTTTTTTTACTTTCAGTTTTTAATTAGCCATGCAATAGTTTCACAGCCTTTCAGGATTTTTGTTCAAATAAAGACCCCCCTCCTCCTGCTGTTTTTTGGCAGAGGACACGGGTGTGGGAGGGAGGCAGAAGGTGGTGAGGTGAATCCCGCTGCTACAGTTCCCAAACTGTAACTTTTCTCCAGGAAGCTAACCCTTGCTAGGAACTAAGATTCTCAGTACCGCCACATCTAGGCCTTGCTCCAAGCTGGCCAGCTAGTGGATGGACGTTGGAGGAGACGGCTGCTGAAAACCTCCCCTTCATGGGAGAGTACAGTGACTTGGTAAAATGCCTTATTTTAAAGTGAGTTACTTCTCTGAAAAGGTTTTATGAGCAAGCCTCCAGAAGGAGCCCGAGGGGTTACCTTATAATTGTGTCAGGTACTGTGATTCTTACCTCCTTTGGGACTTCAGGCTCTTGGGAATGCTGTGGATCTTCTCCCCCAGAAAAATGTAGCTACGTTGATCTAGAGCAGCACTGACAGAAATATTATATGAGCCATATACACAATTTTAAGATTCCTAATAGCTCTTTAAAAATCTGGTAAAAATTAACTTCAATAATTTAACACAGTAAGTTCAAGAACATTGTTTCAATTGGTGATCAACATGAAAACTATTAATGAGATACTTTATATTCTTTTTTTTTTCATACAAATCTCCAAAATCTGGTATTTTACACTTAAACATTTCAATTCGGGGTGCCTGGGTGGCTCACTCAGTTGAGTCTGCCTTGGCTCAAGTCCTGATCCTGGGTCCTGGAGAGAGTGCTGCAGGGGGCTCCCCACTCAGCAGAGAGCCTGCTTCTACCCCTCCCTCTACTTCTCCCCCTGCTGGTGTGTGCACAAAATCTGTCAAGTAGATAAATAAAATCTTAAAAAAAAAAAATACATTTCAATTCAGACAGTAGATTTTCATCAACATGCTTGTTTAGATTTAGATTTCAGGAAACTTACTGTGGAAAAATATATTCAAGTTGTTTGAAACACCTCAAATGTTTTCTAATAATTGGGTTTCCATTTTTTACATTTAATTTAAATAAAAATAGGAATCCGGTCCTACAGTTGCATTAGCCACATTGCTTAATAGTGCTTAATAGCCACATGTGGTTAATGGCTTCTATATTGGGAGGCAGATATAGAGAGAATCCTTTTCCTGCCAGATTTTAATCCCCCCCCCAGTCCTCACACCAAGAGTCCCCTCGAAGGCTTTGTTTAGGTCAAGCCCACACAAGAGAGAGGTAATGGGATTTTAGCCTCCCTTATCTGAAATTTTAAAGCTTCAAATTTACAGATATTTTCAGTTCTCTACTTTGCTGGTATTTTTAGATTGTAACTGTGCTGGTACCAACTATTTCTAATGGATTCTCCATCTGAATGAATAAATAGTCATTGGAAACTGCTGGGCAGAGAAACTCTAAAAGCAGTCAGGACCCACTTTTTTCACCTGTTAGATTGTCATGCTTGTGGGAAAAATGGAATTCTTCCACTTTCGATGGGCATATATCCAAATAAAAGTCATACCCACAGTTTCACCCAGCAATTTCATTTCTAGAAATCTCTCAGCAATACTTGAACAAGTGGACAGAAATCTATGCAAAATGTTTACTGTAGCACTGTTGCTAATAGCTGAATGAAAACAATCTCACATGCTTATTAGTAAGAATTTTGTTAAATAAAATTTGCCACATCAATATAGGGAAATACCTTGCAGCTATTAAACAGATGTAGATACGCTGACAGCCATCTTTATTACAGGAAAATTATAGAACATATATTTGGCATCATCCCATTTGTGGAGGGACACATGCTTATACATGAATTAAAATTTTCTAGGATATGCAAGAAACTTAGCAATGGGGTGTGGAGTATGGGTGATGGGGAGAGGGGAATTCCAGTTTTAACTTTATAACTTTCTGATTAACTTGAAATTTTTTTTTAAAGATTTTATTTATTCATGAGAGAGAGAGAGAGAAGCAGAGACACAGGCAGAGGGAGAAGCAGGCTCCATGCAGGGAGCTCGACGTGGGACTCGACCCTGGGTCCCCAGGATCACACCCTGGGCTGAAGGCGGCGCTAAACTGCTGAGCCACCGGGCCGCCCTGAATTTTTTTTTTTTTACGAGTATGTATTGCTTTTATAATTAAAAATTAGCAATACGATGTCAAGTGGGGACCTTGTTTTGATGCTGATATGAACTAACAATAAAGATACTTTAGAGACATTCAAGGAAATAAATTCTAAATTTTATATTTAATAATACATAGAATTACAGAGGTGCCTGGGTGATGCAGTCAGCTAAGCATCGGACTCTTGGTTTTGGCCCATGTCATGATCTCAGGGTCCTGGGATTGAGCCCCGTGTCAGGCTCCACACTCAGCATGGAGTCGGCTTGAGACATTCTCTCTCTCAAATAAATCTTAAAAAAAAGAATAATACATAGAATTACTCTTAATTTTGTGAGGTATGATAATAGTAATGTGGTCATGACTAGGTTAAATGACTTCAGGAAAAATGAATACAGTTAAGCAAGTGTAAGTTAAGCAATCTTTGTTAACTATTGGGTAGAGTGTTTCATTATACTGTTCTCCTTACTGTTCTATACATTTGAAAATTCTCATAAATTTTTCAAATCAGTTAATTGAATAAATACTATGAGGTGTTAAAGAACAGAGCTTCCACAAAATCTCTACAATAGTACTGAAACATACTCACTAGGTAGTAAGCATCCATCACTGGGAATGTAAATGTTAGAAAACTGTTGTCAAAAGAATTGCTGCCCTAGGAGGGCACTTGGAAAGATTGCTTTAGGTAATCCCCGCTCCACCACCCCAATTTTTTAAAAGATTTTATTTATTCATGAGAGACACATACAGAGGAGAGAGACAGAGAGAGAGGGGCAGAGACACAGGCAGAGGGAGAAGCAGGCTCCATGCAGGGAGCTTGACGTGGGACTCGATCCCAGGTCTCCAGGATCAGACCCTGGGCTGAAGGCGGCGCTAAACCGCTGAGCCACCCAGGCTGCCCTCATGCCTTATTTCTAGCAGATAAAATGCAACCACTAGTATTACTGATACCATTCTGAATAGGTTTTTAAAATTTGGATGTAGTCTTTTTACTACATTCTTTATGGAAATAATTAGACCATGTATTCTTAATTTTAGTTAAAATCATGCCTAGGAAAAAAATAAAAAAATAAAAAAAATAAAATCATGCCTAGGGGATCCCTGGGTGGCTCAGCGGTTTAGCGCCTGCCTTTGGCCCAGGGCGCGATCCTGGAGTCCCGGGATCGAGTCCCGCATCGGGCTCCCAGCATGGAGCCTGCTTCTCCCTCCTCCTGTGTCTCTGCCACTCTCTCTCTCTATCATAAATCAATCAATCAATCAAATTAAATCATGCCTGGCATGATGCCTCAGAGCTGCTAGCAACTTATTTTCCACAAAGGCCCTTCCCTATAGTTTCAAAATAAGGAGTATTTAATAAGGTTACATTCTTCAGTATGGGAATGTCAAAGAAAATAACCCTCGTCCATCTGACTTTTTACTAGGCTAGTGTGTAATTCACCACGTGAGATATTTATATGTGAATTTCTCTCTCCAGTCTAACATTTGCTAAACACTTACTGGTTTATACCAGGTACTGTGCTAAATAAATGTTTTACATGTATCAGTTCAGATATACCTGTAAATTATTCTATGAAGTGACACCATTTTTAGTCCTACTTAGAGAAGAGGCATAAAGAAGTTGATTAATTTGTTCAAGGTTTCACAGGTAGCAAGTGGCTAAGCAGGGTCTTAAGCCAGAAGTCTGATTTCAGAGTCTGCTTTGGTGAGTACTATGGTTCAGCATATGGCTTTTTTCTACTAAAGTAGACAGCTTTTGGCATAGCAATGATTCCCCCAAACTGATGACAAGGGTGACATGAATGCATACAAAAATAATATTTTATTAACTTAGGCTTTACCACATATTGATTTAGTCAAACCAAAAAATTTACACAAAAATGTTAAGTAAAATCCCCAAGACTCCATTCAGCCTGAATTTTATTCTGGATAGGACAGGGAACTGTCTCCTGCATAAACAAAAGAGCAAAATGGCTCCAATTCCATTTTGTAGGAATGCAGACCCGTGGGGAGCCAAGGTCAAGGCAACCAGGCACTGTGCCTGACCTAAGGATTTGTTGCTCGTGTCACCAGCCAGCCTGCCGCCAAGAGCTTAGCCCCAGTGCTGGCTTCTTTGCTATTAAGGCAACAGTCTTAGGATCCTTGTTATAATAGTTGAAACAAAATTCCAAAGCCCTCACATCTTCAGTGAGGTGGCAGATGTACTGTTTGCAGCCCACAGCAGTTTGGAAGCTGAAATCACTCTGCTGTAGCCTTTTGTGCTTTGGCAGCATTTTCCAAAATTTTCCTTTTCCATTCTTCATAATCCTGTGTCAGATCTTCATCTTTTTGCAGTTTACGTGGGCTCTCTACTATCTTCTCTGTTTCTGGGAGAGAAAATTTTCAAAAGTGTTTCAAAATCTTTCACTGACAAGAAAAAAGCCAACTTGTTTCAAGTGTCTAAGTAGTTAATAAACTTGTTTCAAGTATCTAATTAATTAATAAAAAATAGGGATTATCATGCTGAAATGAAAGGTGCAACCAGCAGCTAACATCAGCTTTTTGCTCTCTCCTCCTCCGAGCACCCCACAACACCCTGAAAGTAGCTGGCGTTTATCAAGCACTCATCTTGTGCTTCAAGGCACTGTACCAAGTACTTCAACAGCATCATGTCATTCAACTCTCACCACAAGTCTATGAGGTGGCTGCTAATATTAATCACGACTTTATAGATTAGGAAATTGAGATTTACAGAAATTAAGTGACTTTCCTAAAGTTATGGAGCCAGTGGATGGTAAATAATACAGGATTTGAACCTAAGCATTTTGGCTTCAGGTGTGTTCATATTTACAAGCTATTTTTGTTTACTTCTGTAAATGACTGCTTAGAAAACTGGTCTCACCAAACGATTGTACAGATTCATTTAAAACCTGACTCTTGGGATGCCTGCGTGGCTCAGCGGTTGAGAGTCTGCCAGCTCCCGGGATCGAGTCCCGCATCGGGCTCCTTGTGGGGAGCCTGCTTCTCCCTCTGCCTGTGTCTCTGCCTCTCTGTGTGTCTCTCACGATTAAATACATAAAATCTTAAAAAAAAAAAACAAAAAGCAAAAACAAAAAAACCCGACTCTTGTCAGGCAAGTAGCACAGGACTAGTCACCATATTAAACCCACTGTACACTAATCCCATTGCACTGATTTCAAAGTCTGTCCAGTATTAGTTCACCTTACCCCTTGCTGGAGTCTCAGCCATTGTCTTCTTTTTCTTCTTTGGTGGAGTAGCTGAATCTCCAGCCTCTCCTTCAGGGAAAAAAAAATGTGTCATCAGGGCTAAATTTTCTCTGATTCTTAATTTTAGTAGTTGGGCTTATTTGGGATCACAAGAAACAATTAGATACCATGACTGACCAAATACAAGGTTAAGGAGGTGAATAATCTTGCCCTTGGTTTCTCTTGTCAGACCTAAGAATCTTTCCCGTTCCAGTTTATGTATATGGAGGCTGGCATTCAAACTGGAGCATGTTAACAAAAAACCTATTTTTTAGGCATGGAGTCATAAAATCACGGGTATTTTAAAAGTTATTAAGCTACTTTATCTGAAAAACAAAAAAATTTCTCACTACCAACTTACCTGGTCCACATTAAATACAAAATTCAGAAAGCAGCCATTTTGCAAGTTGGAAAACATTAGGTGTTTACTAGCTGGTTTACATTTTCAAATGACACATTCTTGAAATATGGAATGAATACTCACTGTCAGCTTGCTGCCCGATCTTCTCTAATTGTTTACATAGTCGGTCAAATATGGCCTTTTTTACACCAGATGTAGCTACCATTTTATTTTTATCCACCTTTAGCTTTAGAATTCTGCAAAAGAATTTGACAAATTAGTTTTTAAGACCAATATAGTTATCTTCTCTGGCCAACCAGATTATCAACTTATTTCCTTTCTACCCATGCCCCAACTGTTTAGTTTTCCCTTTAGTCCAAACATATATTATTAGGTATAACTATGTGTATTTGCCTTTTAAAGCTAGTTATTTATTGGACTGAGTAAAAATATATATGAGATTTGTTACATAACAAAAGGGGCACATAAAAGACATTTGCTTTAGTGCTTCGTGCCTTAAAGAATCCTTTCTTTGTGAATCTCAGATGTTACTGATTTGCTGAATGACAATCATAGCACTTTTAAATGTTCAGTTCAGGGATGCCAGGCGGGGCTCAGGGGCTGAGCATCTGCTTTCAGCTCAACTTCTGGCAACAGTGGTTCCAAACTGTCAGCTATATCGTGGGATAAACAGAATCTGGTCACTTGGCTACTATTTCTAATATTATTTATATGGGAAAATATGTTCTGAGTTGAAATCACTGAATTAGAAGTCCTCTTTGAGAATGAGCAATCTATTTGGAAATTGTGGACTCTTCTCAATGTTAAAAGGCACACTTACTTGCATGCTGAAAGTAATGCAGCAGTAGTGAAAAGTGGCCTGGATAAGTCGAGATCCAACTGCTGTGCTTGTGGAAGACTGGATTTATAGCTAAGGGAAAGCAGTGTTTGCAGAATTATTTGTTAAAAAATATTATTTCAAAGAGACTTAAAATATAAATCAGAATTTATAAGCTATTTAAATGCATGAGATATACATTATGCCACCTTACCATATCAGTTATTTTTTTAAGACTGAAAATAGAACATAGATAATTCTGCTTTATGTATCAGTATAAATTTAGTACAAATTTTTAATTAAGGTTCTTTATGTTTCATACCTTTGCAATATCTTTGAAGCCATGTTCACTGCTTCTGTACAGCTAAACTGTACTGCTAGGTCTCTTATTCCAATACTTGATTTCAGGCCCAGTAAACACTCAAAGGATTTAAGACAGCTCTGATACATCTTCTTGTTCAAGCCAGAAAGTTTAATTAAATAAGCCTTTGAAAGAAAAAAAAAAGCACTTATCATAAAAATTATAATGATAATCATTCTATACATTGGTGCCCTTAAACACTTGTTTAGTAAGTCAATTAATTCTATGACAAGTGGCTGGGTCTAGCTAACCATTTAGCTCATTTAGTCAAAAGTCAGTAATCATATTAGGCAGAGCTGAGTTCTGCTCTCAAGGGGTTCACACTAGACAGTAATGCATAAGCACAGATAATTTAAAAAACAAGTGTTAGTACAGCCAAGCTGTGAATAAAAACACAAGAGATATATACATGGTCATCTGTTTTTCAATGAAAGTGCCAATGAGGAAATTGCTGGGAAAAGGAAATAAAGAAGTATCCGGAGTAGAGGTGGGAAGGATGAATGTGTAGAGGAGGGACGAGGGGGGGGGGGAAACTGGCAAATAGAGGGAAAGCAACTCTAACAGAAAGTCAAAAGAAGCTTCAGAAAGGATGTAACAGCAAGGCAGGGTCATGTAAGACAAATTGGAGCTTGCCAGAAAAGAAATGCAGGTAAGAAAAAAAAAATAGTTGTATTTACAAAGCTGTGAGTCATTAAAGTACATGGTCTGTTAAGGAAATATATCGTGTAGCTTGAGGTTAGTGTTCAAGAGAAGCTTGAACTAATGGGGAGCCAACCCACTGGGAGCTAATGGGGTTTTTAATGCCACCACTTAATGAGTGTATCATTAAGTGATATGCACTGTTAAGTGTACTACATATGGTTTAATCCTCACAATCTAGTGAAATGGATACTCTTATCCCCACTTTATGAATTAGGAGAGGAAGCTCGGAGCTAATAACTGGTGGTACTGAGATTTGGTCTCAACATCTAACTCTTCCTGACTCCTTAGCTTGTGCTCTCAACCACTGTGATGCTAGAAGAAAAATACAAAATATTTTTAAAAAATATTTTTATTCATGAGAGACACACACACACAGAGAGAGAGAGGCAGAGACACAGGCAGAGGGAGAAGCAGGCTCTACACAGGGAGCCTGATGTGGGACGCGATCCTGAGTCTCCAGGATCACACCCTGGGCCGAACGAAGGCAGGCACTAAACCGCTGAACCACCCAGAGGTCCCTAGAGTGCATGCTTTAAAACCCATGTGTATTTGGGGAAGCTCGGGTGGCTCCACGGTTGGCACTGCCTTCAGCCCAGGGCATGATTCTGGAGACCTGGGATCGAGTCCCACGTTGGGCTCCCTGTGTGGAGCCTGCTTCTCCCTCTGCCTGTGTCTCTCTCTCTCTCTCTCATGAATAAAATCTTTTAAAAAAATTAAAAAACAAAGCATGTGCTTTAGCACGATGCTAGCAGCGACATGAAAGATGGTCTTGAGTAAAGAAAGAAGTGGCCAAGGAAACTAGATGGTAAATGGAATTTTCTGCCAACTCTGAAAATGATTTTAAAGCTTATGTAGAGTAATCACACATGACAATAGCCAAGAAAATTCTAAAACAAGAGTTCTGGGATCTGGGATGCCTGGGTGGCTCAGAGGTTAAGCGTCTGCCTTTGTCCCAGGGCCTGATCCTGGCTGGAGTCCTGGGATCGAGTCCCATGTCGGGCTCCCTGCATGGAGCCTGCTTCTCTCTCTGCGTCTCTGCCTCTCTCTGTGTGTCTCTCTCATGAATAAATAAATAAAATCTTAAAAAAAAAATAAAACAAGAGTTCTGAGTTTAGTCCAAAAAAGAAATTACAGTGCATACTTAAGTTTCAATGTTGGGGCACCTGGGGGTTAAGCATCTGCCTTGAACTCAGGTCATGAACCCGGGGTCCTGGGACCAGCCCCACTTCAGGCTCCTTGCTCAGTGGGGAGCCTCCTCTTCTGTGCCCCCTGCGTGTTCTCTCTCTTTCTCTCTCTCTCAAATAAACAAATAAATTTTTATTTTTTTATTTATGATAGTCACAGAGAGAGAGAGAGAGAGGCAGAGGCACAGGCAGAGGGAGAAGCAGGCTCCATGCACCGGGAGCCCGACGTGGGATTCGATCCCGGGTCTCCAGGATCGCGCCCTGGGCCAAAGGCAGGTGCCAAACCGCTGCGCCACCCAGGGATCCCCAACAAAAAAATTCTTAAAAACAGTTCACCGTTGCAGCAGGTTGCCGGCGGCCGGCCGGCAGCACCTACTCACTCTGTCCAGGGGGCACTTCCCGCAGGACGCCGCGAGGTCCAGGCACATGACCGCGCTGCTCGTTTCCGTGGTGCGTGCCGACAGGCCAGCGCACTTCACCTGGGACAGTCGCAGGTACTCCTCTGCTTTCCTGGTTATAAGGGCGACACGCTCGCTGTGGTGAACGACGGAGGCAGCGGGGAGGCCCGCACTCGGGGCCCAGCCGCGGCCAGGCTTACACGGAGTGGGACGGAGCCTGCATCCTTGGGTTGGACGACGCTGTCCTGGGGGATGGAGCAGCCCTGACCCCGGGCACCACCGAGCTCAAGCGCTTTAGGGCAAAAGTTAAGTTCCTCGGTTTCTTGAAACAAAAAGCACCTGCTCTCGTTCCTCCGCTGCGGCGCCCTGAAGGCTGCCAGCTCCCCCGAGGTCGCTTCCTTCCGCCGGTTCCTCGAAGCCAACGGCACCCAAACTGCCGGGGGCGAGGCGGCCTGGGGCCTTCCGCCGCCACAGCCGGGTTTCCGACCCCGTCCCGCACGGGCCGCCCCCTCACGCCCCCTCTCGCCCCCCGAGCCCGAGCCCGCACCCGCACCCCGCTCAGGCCGGAGACCGCCTCACACGTCCGTCAACCTGAGGAGGCTGCCGCTGCCGAGAGCGGCCGGCAGGGCGCGCCCCCGCCCCTCCGCCCCGCGGCGCCCGGCCAGGTGTCCGCCGCCGCGCACAAGCCGCCGGGAGGCTCCGCGGAACCACCCAGGTCCCGACTCCCCTCAGGCCGCGCGGCGCCCCGCACGCGGTTCCCACCGACGTCTACGAGCGCCCCGTCCTGCGGGTCCCCGTCGGCCGCCGCGGGAGGTGCTCCTGGGGGCAGAGCCTCACCGCCCCGGCGCCGCCGCCAGACCCACCTCAGCACCTCCGGCTCCGCGATGCCCAAGCGCGCGGCTAAACACGACATCAGCCCTGACGCCATGGCGCCAACTCCAGCTCGCGCGAACAGCGGCAACCGGACGAAAGCCGCGCGCAAACCCCGCGCCTGCCAGTGAGGGCCAGGCCCCACCCCCTGCCGCATCCGGATTGGCTGGGACGGAGCCCTGCTGCATCCGGATTGGCCGGGGCCCAGGCCCCCCCCCGCTACTGCATCTGGATTGGCTGGGGCAGAGCCAGGCCCCGCTGGGACGGAGCCAGGCCCCACCCCCTGCTGCATCCGGATTGGCCGGGACGGGAGCCAGGCCACACCCCCTGCTGCATCTGGACTGGCGGGGACCAGGAGTTGAGAGCGCTCCACCGTCAAGCAGTCTTCCTGTCGCGCATGCGCACCGCGGCTGCACGCTCCCGGGCAGGGGAAGCTGGAACGGCCGCGCCCTCTCCTTCCATTCCTCCCGTCGTAACAAACTCTCAGACGACGCCTTTACTTCCTGCCGCCGAGAGATACCCCGCTGCCCCGCCCCCGCCCGCCCCCCTCACACACCGCGGACGGACTGGCCGGCGCTCAGGTCCGTCCCTACACGGAGAGTGGCAGGAGCCCTTAAACACGCGAGACTTGAGTTCCCAGACGCGGGCCAATCGAGGAGCCGTCTGCGGGGCCCGGGGGCGGAGCTAAGGAGGGCGGGGTGTGCAGCGGCCGCAGCGTCACCTGACCGCGGGAGGCTCCGCGCGGGGTGGGTGCTGCTCGCTGCAGGCTCGGGGAGTCGCCATGGTGAGTGTCGAGCGGCCGCGGGCCCCGGTCGGCCCTGCCCCCGACCCCTGCGCCCTCCCAGCGCCGCGGAGACGCGCGGGCGGAGCCGGAGCCCCGCAGGCCGGTCGGGGCCGGGAGCCGCCGGGCTGGGCCTGCGGGACGAGGGCAGGCCGGGGAGGGCCGCGGGCGGGCTGATCCGAGGCCGGGGTGGGCGGCGGCTCCCGGTTCTGAGGCGTGCCTGGGCCTGCGGCCGCCTGTCGTGGAGGTGGGTCCGCCGCGGTGAGGGGCCGGGGGCCGCCCGGAGGTCGCGCCCCGGCCGGCGAGCGTTTCCGACGTGGCGCCCTCTGGCTGCGCGAGAACCACCTGCCGGAGGGTCGGAGCGGCGCCCTGGTGTTCGGCTCTTCCCCGCGGCGTCCGCCGGCGAGCTGCGGGGCCTGCTTACGGGGGCGTCCCGTGTGGTGCGCGTTGCCCTGGCGGGAGGGCGACTTGTTTGCCCCGACCCTTGTTGGCCGGCTCCGGGTCGCTCGCTGCAGCGGGCCCCTGGGCTGCGGCCCACACGCCTGCGCCTCCTCAGCGGGGCCGCGTCCTCAGGCGGTGCCCGCGGCCTGTTCGCCTCCCGGGGACCGGCTGCTCCGCGCGCCGCGCTGCGAGGCGGGGCCCCATGAGGCGCCCGTGGCCGTGAGGGCCGTCCTGCCTCCGCGGGGACTGGGCCCCCGAGAACTCTTACCGTCGGCGGCTGGTGCGAGGACGATGCGGACGTTTGACTAGGATATGCCTGTTGTGGGCATTCGTGAGGTGACGGTCACGGGGTTCATTTATTTTTTATTTTTAAAGATTTTAATGTATTTATTCATGAGAGACACGGAGGGAGGCGGAGACGCAGGCGGAGGGAGAAGCAGGCTCCACACGGGGAGCCTGACGCGGGACTCGATCCCGGGACCCGGGGTCACGCCCTGGGCGGAGGGCGGCGCTGACCGCCGATCCCCGGGCGCCCCAGTCAGAGTTTTGGCCGCCTGCGCCTCGGCCCTGTGCAGGGTGAGCCCGCTTGAGGCTATGAGCAGGACGCAGCCCCGCGCTCCCGAGCACCTGTGAGAGGAGCCCGGATGCGGTCTTGGGCGGGTCGCTCGTCATCCTGGAGTCTCCCCTTTGCGTCTGGAAACAAGCGTTGGCTCGTAGGATTCTGGGAGCCGGGTCACTTCAGGCGTCCTGTGGCCTCAGTGCGGAGCGTGCCGGGCGCTGGAGCGACGCCGAGAGTGAGGCGGGAGCGGTGCTTGTGGGCCCGGATGTAACTGTGAGGGGCGCTGTGCGGGCGCTGGAGCCTGGGCTGCGGGGCCGGGGAGCTGGGAGAAGGGCGTGGTGATGCGGTCGCTCCCGCGAGGGCCTGCGAGCGACGGAAGCAGAGACCCTCCCGGGGGAGCGGCCGCGGGGTGGCCTTGGGCTCAGGTCATGATCGGGGTCCCGGGGTCGAGCCCCACGTCGGGCCCCCTGCTCGGGACAGTCTGCTGCTCCATTTCCCTCCTCCTGCTTGTGCTGTGTCTCAAACAAATTAGCAAAAGTTTGCAAAAAGGAAAAAAAGATTCTCCAAATGGAGAAGAATAAGTGTCGCTAATAGATGAAGCTGGGACAAGTGAATGTTGTTCGTGGCGTGTCCAGCCTAGAATTCCTGGGGAGATGTATTGGCAGATGAAGCTGGAGCCAGGTTAGTGTTCAAATCATATTTTGAAGTTGCCAAGCTCTCGTCATCCTGATGCTCCCTACTTCAATTGCAATCGTGTGCCTTATAATTACAAGAGTAGTACATACATTGAGTATGATGAAGTTCTGTATCTGTGAGATTTTCCTCTTACAGTTGACTTACAGCGTGTTGGATTACAGCTACAACCTACCATGAGGAGATGGACCAAATAAGTTGCTTAGATGGCTGGAGATAATGGCTTGTATCTAAGGGGAGGTATAATAATAGTGACACTTATAAAGTGCTTGATTACTAAGTGCTAGGCATATTCTGAGTTCTATCTGTGTCATTTCATTAATTCCTCGTAATAGTAATATAAGTACTCTTACTGTCTCTGTTTAGTAGAAGAGGAAATGAATACACGTGGTTTGAATGGAGAGCAGTTTTATGAGTGATCCACTCATGATGGATCACTTTCTCTGAGCCTGACGGCTATGTTTGGCCTGGGTCTCAAGCTCAAGAGAGCCTAATGTTAGTTTGTTTTTTTTTTTAATTTCTTTTAATTTTCATTTATTTATGATAGTCACAGAGAGAGAAAGAGAGAGAGGCAGAGACATAGGCAGAGGGAGAAGCAGGCTTCATGCACCGGGAGCCCGACGTGGGATTCGATCCCGGGTCTCCAGAATTGCGCCCTGGGCCAAAGGCAGGCGCCAAACCCCTGTGCCACCCAGGGATCCCCCTAATGTTAGTTTGATCTTGATTCTGTAATGTTTCCATTTTTCTCTCATCCATGTAATCTTTAAGTACATTAAGTACAAAGCCGTTTGTAAATGGGGAACTAGTTCCATAAGTAAGCAGACATTTATTACCTGGCTTGTGTTTAATGAGACCATGCATAAATAAATAAATAAATAAATAAATAAATAAATAAATAAATAAATAAATAAATAAATAAAATAACCATGGTCACAACATTTTTTACTACTCTTGCTCTATGTGACACTTACCAGGAAGAACCTCAAGACACTCCCTTAGAATAGCCATATAATGGCTACATTTGTATAATAGCTACATTGCCTTGGGGAGTAATTTCTAAAAATAACATTTCCTTATTATAGTTTTAGTTCATTTGTAGCCTACCTTGAAATAAGTCTGTAGTTTCCTACATTATATGTTTATTTTAAACCCAGCTGATGCAAAATAGAAGAATTCTGCTAAAGTTTTCTTAATAGATCACTGAATCTATTCAGTTTATACAAAAATTTTTAGGTTTGTAGTCTCTTTGTAACCACAGTTTTATTTGCTGTATTAAGGTTATTATACGTCACAGCCAAAAGGTGGAAGCAGGCCAAGTATCTCATCAATTGAAGAATAGATAAAATATGGTATATACCTACGATGGAATATTATTCATCCTTAAAAAGAAAGGAAATTCTGCCATATGCTACAACATGGATGAACCTTGAAGACATTATGCTAAGTTGAAATGGCTAGACACAAAAACCTGTAATTCTTATATGAGGTACTTAGAGAAGTCAGACTCAGAGAAAGCAAAATGGTTGTTGTGTGGGGTAGCACTAGAGAATGGAGGGTTATGTTTTATGGGTACAGATTTTCTCTTGGAAAAGATGAAAGACTCCTGAAGATGAATGGTGCTGATGACTGTACAAGAATGTGAATGTGCTTAATGCCATGGAACTGCACATTTAAAAGTAGTTAAAATGGCAAATTGTATGTTATATATATTTTACCACAATAAAAAAGTAATTATAAAAATTTCCTCATGTATCTATATCTCTGAACCTAATGAAGTCCATTGATTCTAATAATTGTTAAATCTATTGCATCTAGAGATAAAGGGCCAAAAAAATCCAAACCTTAGCTTGGTGTCACTTAAGTTCTCAGAGAACCAGTCCAGGATGGATGGTGAATTTCATGAAGTCAGAATCCTCAGATGCTGGGGTTGTCTTTGCCTCTGAGACATTTTAACACTAGTAGTTCTGCTGTATAATTTAAGGTTCCCTTTAAATTTAGTTTAAAAGACATACATTTTTCTTTGATATTTGTATATGCTTGTGAAGAAGTGTGGTCATAGGGAAGCACAGGTTACTAGAGTTTGCCATTGGAAAAAAAAAATAGAGACGCTTGGCATTTATTATTAATTTTTTTCTCTTTCCAAAATTAGACCAAGAAAAAGTTTTCCATTTTTATAAGTGATTCTGATTCACAGTGGGTTTTTTTTTAAGATTTATTTATTTATGATAGACATAGAGAGAGAGAGAGGCAGAGACACAGGCAGAGGGAGAAGCAGGCTCCATGCCAGGAGCCCGACGTTGGACTCGATTCCAGGACTCCAGGATCACGCCCTGGGCCGAAGGCAGGCGCTAAACCACTGAGCCACCCAGGGATCCCCTAACTTTTATGTTTATACATAAGTCTTTGCCTTCCTCCTTTCCATCTCATCATATAGAGGCATCTTACCTTTAGTCATTTTTATTAAGGTGAAATTCATATAAGGTTAGTCCGTTTATATTTTTAAAGATTATTTACTTTAGAGGGAGTGGAGAACAAGTGAGGGGAAGGGCAGAGGGAAAGAGAATCCTCAAGCCGACTCCCCACTGAGCGCAGAGCTTAACTGGGGCTCAGTTCCAGGACCCTGAGGTCATGACCTGAACTGAAATCAAGAGCAGGGCACTTAACCAACTGACCTACCCAGGAGTCCCAAGAGGAACCATTTTAAACTGAACAATTCAGTGGCAGTTAGTAAATTTGCAGTGTTACACAACCACCGTTTCCAGTTCCAAGACATTTTTATCACTCCCAAAGGAAAACCTGTACTCATTAAGCAGTTATTCCCCCACTCTCTCCTCTGGTAACCACAAGTCTACTTTCTTTCTATGGATGATTTGTTTTGGGGGGGTGCATTTCATATGAATGGACTTCAGACCTTACATGGTCTTTTGTGCCTGGCTTCTTTCACTTAGCATAATGTTTCTTAGTTTCATTCATGTCACATATATCACTACTTTGTTCCTTTTTATGATTGAATAATATTCCAATATATATATTTATGTATATGTGTATAC